GAGATTCAAATTTAAATTAATACATATTTGTTTAAATTAAAAATTAAATATTTATTTTACTATTTAAATCTATCCTCATGAATCTCCAAAATCATAATATAATTTTTTATTAATATATGAAATTTGACATAATATATTCCCCATTATTATAGCTAAACTCAACTCTCATAATTCCATGAATCTAAAAAAAAATCTATTTTTACCTTATTAAAATTAAAAAAATAATATGTCGTGAAAGAGTTTCCAGACATGTTATATTTAGTTTAATATATATATAGATATATATATATATATATGTATATTTAGACATGTTATTTAGATCAGGTTGCTGTGAAGGACTTTGGAACTCAATATATTAATTTCATATATTAAGTTTTACCAAATTTAAATTCCTTAAATATCTAAACTAAATAAAATAATTTTAAATATCTATCATTTTGATTTTTTTAAATCATATCTTAATTTTCCCTCCCAAATCATCCTGATTCAATTATAAATTATTAGATTAGGTTAATAGCATATTTCACAATTGCACATCTAAGTCACTCCTCTAATTAATTGCATTAAGTTCATTTTCCTCTCCACTATTATTCATACTATCCATGGCCTCTACTTTTGAGTTCCATGCTATTCAGTGTATTAACATAATAAAAAAAGATTGGCACATTACAGTTAGGGTGATTCATATCTAAATATTGTCAGGTAGAAATACATCCGAAGAATCTAATGGTGTTGAATTGGTCTTCCAAGATGCTAGAGTAAGTGTTTATGTATTTTGTTTTTTTCAGATCCCCTTAATTATGTCTAATATATAATACTCATCTATCCATGGGATAATGTTGTTGTAGGTTGCATCTCTTTAAAAATATAATGATTTCAAAATTGAGGGTCTCTCAATGCTATGCATTATTTATCAATAAATCATACTTTTTTTAATAAAAAAATATGTTGAATATGATTTCTACTTTTTGTTGCAATTATATTGATATGGTGTTTCCAACAGCATGTGTAACTCGTGAAATCATTATTTGTAGACAATTCTAATAGTATCATTGATATTATTAAATTAACCTGCCATGAAAAATATTTGTGAAATTCAAACAATGTGATCGGATTTGTCATGTTCATGAATAGTATTATTTGTTCTTACATTTCATATTGATTTATGATAAGTATTACTCTAATAATTAACCTATCATAGGGTGAACAAAACTTTGCAATTATGTAAAAAACTTTTGTGAGACGTTTTAAAGATAAGTTGCATCCCTTTAAAATATTGAATTTTAAAATTTGGGTCTCTCATGCTATGGATTGTATCGAACAACAGATCATCCTTATAAGATTCGCTTCATGTTCTCTGCTACTGTGAAGTTGCCTCTTGAGACAAGTTCTATCCATTGTTTCGGGTTCAATTTTATTAATATTCCATATATTGTAGATAGGGAGGCGTGAATGATAATTACTTAATTGGTATGTATTTAAATTTTTTAAATTTGTTCTTTTAAAAACTCTATTTGATAATGTCCTATTTTAATCCTTTTTTATCTATTAAAAAATCTCATTGCTTTAGGGGGAAAAAACTCACCAATCAAATAAAAGTAAGGCAATTACTAAGTTTAAATTATCTATTTTTATCTATCTTAATATTAAATGGTTTATTTTTCTTAATGACATGTGATTAAATGGTAAATTTTCTTTATTTTCTCAATTTTTTTGATAAGACCCCCTTTCTTAATATGAGCCCGATTTGGGCTTAATTTAACAAGAGCGGATAACCTTATAAGTCAACATCTCCCACTCATACTTAATGAATAAGACATTACTAGTTTTTCTCTTTCTCTTCCTTCTTTTCATACAAAGATGCTTTTCCATGACCACATGGGCTTGACATCTCTATTTTGGATATTTGTACTAGAAATACTATTACGAACTAGCACAAAAGAACCCTACAGCTGATTTAAGCTTATGTTGACTTTGTGCTATAAATGTCCTAAATTTGCCTTGTATACACTTTTCTCTTAGCCAATCTAATCCCTCTTTGAGTTAGTATAAGACTCAAATTGCCTTTCTCATATGCATAATGTCTACACTTATGAAACCCACAAAATGATATCAAAAGGGGCTGGTCTTAGACACTTTTATAGGTGTGTGTATATAAGATAATCTTCCTTTAAACCATATATAACTTTGACAAAAATAGTCGCTCTCATAGCACACTACCTTTAGATTACATCTATCATGATTATAAGATATATGTTAAAGTACCGGGTATTATAACTTACCTCCATGATATTATCAAAGTCAAAGGACATCAATAAAAGGATTATTCCTTTCTGGAACTCACACAACAATAAGCAGAAACCTTTTCACTTGCTTTCCAACTAGAGTTCTTAAGCACATGCGGCATGAATTGCATGCTACAGTGTTACTCTTATCTCACTAGAGTGTATGTCATTTTGATTTTATCATTACCACCATACAAACTTAAGTTTAAACACACAATATCTAAGGCAAATTCTTCTACTCATCTCCCATGACGTCAATCGTAAAGAATTCGTTATCTAGCTACAGGTATCATAGATGCGGGAATCTATGAATCGATATATATATATACAAATCTCATCAACTTATTCCTTATTTTATGTTGAGGTGACATATAGTTTTTTGTTTCTTCTTTACCATATTAGTACTCTTATTGCCTTATTGGTGACCACAGATATCATAACTTTGCCTTCTCCTCTTAAGAGTTAACAGTGGTTGCTCGTGTGAGAGAGCCAACCTTTTTAACCTATATGACATACTAAACATTATGTACTTTCACACACATACACACATAGCTATGATGAAATAATTTTCATAAAAAAATGCCACTTTATGTATGCTATTTCATTTCCTATCATGTTGTAACAGTCCTCACCTAACCCCACTGAGGGTTTTTTGGACTAGGCCAACCTACTTATGGCAGTGAAAACCAGCTTTCCCTAAGGTGGTACTTGAATTATTCCTCACGCCACCAAAGAAGTCTTTTAGAGTCTTTTCAGACTCGAACCTCCAACCTCTACCACTTTAAGGAAGTTGAGGCTAAGTTTGATACTATTGAGTCAAGTAGTTATAACATTCAGAAAAATTTAATCATGATTTATTAACATAATAAGTGTGATTAGTGAGTTAATGAGGTGCGTGTGGCAAGAGAGGCCTAATTTATGTAAATTGTTATGATTTAAGCCTTAAAAGTAGGTCTAGATCGATAATGGGCCACCCAGGTAAGGAAAGAGGAAGAAAAAGTGAAGATTTGCCCTTTGTGCCGTATGCTGCGGCGTGTGGTCAATCTGCCACAACACACAGGGGAAAATTTGAATGTAATGGCCTTTCTGTGCCATGCGCCGCAGCAGAGGGCACCATGCATTGCGGCATACGAACAAAAAATTGATAAATCAGATATAATTTTGCATGCGAAAACAAAAGAGGAGGAGAAGAAGAAAATGAAAAACTCAACTTAGGCTCTGTTAGGGCATGGCATAGGTTTCTATTGGTAATATTTTAAAGCTCCCAAATACCTAACATAAGTTTATTATGCCTTCTTCTTCCTTTCTCTCCCTCATTTATGGAGATTTATGATAGGGTTTGAGTTGGAAAGTTTATTTTTAGTTTATAGGAGCATGGGTCCATTCTACTAATTAAAATGGGTATATTTAGAGTTGTTTAAGGTATTAGAACACCACATTAATGGTTGTGGAAATGGTTGGTTCATGAGAGTATTATATATCTAAAAATTGACATAAATGAGGTAGCTGGGAGAGGTTATGTCCATTAATGGTGGTTTGAAGAGTTATTAATGATAATGTGCATTAATGAAGCCTAGAGGACCCATTGGGTATGAATGGGCAATAATTTATGGATTGATAGAATAGAGTGTGTGGAAATTTATGTTGGTAAATCCTCAAAAATGAGATAATGATGGTATCATTATATTATGCTTGTAGTGTGATTTAATTTGGCACCATTCAAGATTGGGAGAAGCTTTAGAAGTGTTTTGTGTAAGGGATGAATCTCTTTAAGGTTTGAGGTAACCAGGAAAAACCTAATTTTTATAGTTAAATGTTAATTGTATTTGTAAAATGTGGTTAATAATTTAAATTAATGATGCATATTAGCAATGTGTTTAACTTGTGAAATGATTTTAGAAAGGAAAACATTAATTATGCCACCCATTGATTTATGAATTTAACTATAACATGTTATTGTGGGTGGAAAACTATGATGTGTAATGTGTTGAGAATGTGGAGTATATGTGAGTGTGAGTGTGTTGGATTATTTGCCATGAATTGATTGTTTAGAATGCATAGTATGTGAGAAATATGTATAGCATGATCATTAGCGGAAGTTTGTTTAGGGAGAAGAGTAGTTGATTAAAATTCACGTGGTATTAGCAGTGACTGTTGGAATCGAAAACTTGCCTTAGCACCAACTATTAAAATCGAGAGGTAGCCTTTATACTATGGTTGATTTGGAATTGTCTCACTTGTTCTATGAGGGATTCGAACTTAATTAGTCTCTAATGATGCCTCATGGTAGTTAATATTAGGAGAGATTGAATTACATAAGTAAGTGAGTTAACCCTGACCTAGTAGCTCCTCACAAATAGAAGGTTAGGTTAGTCCATGAAGGATATAGCTAGTGATAGCCACCGGTTTTTATGTCAGAGATAATAGGAAGGTATAAGGTTGTCATTTGATCATGTATATAAATCTGACTACCTAGTTGTTAGTATTGTGGTTCGGTATAAATTAGGGGCACATGGTTGTTATTATTGTGACTTCATGTTGTGCTTTGCAAAAGAACATGATTATGTGTGTTGTAGGCTCAGCCACATGATTGTTAGTTTTGTGGACCGTGGCCAATTCCATCATGTTGTGATTATGTTATGCTTGTTTTGCCCATTTATATCTATTTACAATTGATACACAACTATATAGGTTAGGTGAAACTTGGTTACTGAGTGGTTGTATTTACCCTCAATTCTCAATATTTCAAGACTTAGCTTATCAGATCCGAGTTGGAGAAAGCACACAGAAGCTTAAGATTGTAGAGTAATCCTTTTTGTATGCCCCTCTTATTGTTTTTATGTGTAAATATTAATGTAATTGCCAAGAGTCACGTATGATTATTTTACACTACTTGCATTATCTTGGTGTACAACTTATGTATTTTATGCCCTGAGTTAGTGAGTTTTGGTCGTAAACTGACGAAAGAGCCAAAATACTTCTGCAGGTAGGGATATATGTATTTTGAAAGATTTAGAATGAAAATGATGATTTTGTGCACGAATTTCCTTCCCCTTATGTTTTATGTAAATTAGGGTTGAGTGGTGATTTTAAGATATATGTGTTTTTTATTGTGTGTGGTACATTACATGAGTCCGTTAGAGTGCACTGAGTGTGGTCAGATAGTCGATGTAAGCTTTTGGCACTTATGGTTGAATTGGGATACTAAGGTTGTGTGATTTTTGTGAAAAAAATGATAAAATGAGTTTTAGTGTCTAACTTTTTATACAAAAAGAATGTAAGTATGAAACCAATGCCATTAGCTAGAGTTAGAAGAAAGCTCTATGTAGACACCAAAACCACCTTAATTACATGTTGGAGAAAGATTTTGAAAGTGTCGAAAGTTCTCTCCCTATACTGTCAAATGACAACAATTGATGCTGTTAAGTTTGTGCAATGAACCGTGGCACCTCACCCCACGGCACATGGCACAGAGATGGATGAGCTATAATGCACATGTCACAAGCCACAATGCATTTGTCATTTTCTACAAAAAATCTTGTTTTAAGTTTTAAAACTCATTATTTTGGGTCTCATTTGTTTTTCAAGCTTCCGCATTACTTTCAAACTTTGATTTGAACATGTTAAGTGTGTGATTGAGATTGAAAATTGAGTCTTGGGGATCCTATTATATATGTTTTGAAAATTTCTCCCATTTGTGTAATTTTTCAACTTTGGTAATCTTTTAAGGATTAATCCCTTGATTACCTCAATTTTGGAGTTAATTGTGGTGAGTAAGGGAGACCTTACACATACCAAAGGACTTACAACATTTTATGAACACTTCCTTAGGTATAAGATTTATAAGGAGATTTGTTATCACATAATGTGTAGGAATTAGTTGTACAAATACAACTATTTGTGCTATATCATCTCAGATAAAATCATACTTTACATTCACATTTCAATCATGTTATGATACTTGAAATCTTACTCTTGCATAGCAAATGCTATAGTGTAGTTACACACATTTACACTAGATTTAAATCATCATTTATAAATCCAAAATGTTCCATAGAGCTAGCCTCTTATACCATTATAATAAATGTTATAAACTAAATTTATTCGACAACATAGTGCCCTTCAAATATCTCAAGATCTTTTTCACTGCTTTTTAGTGTTTCTCATCATGGTTGGACTAGTAACACTTTACAAGTCTTATTACAAAAAAAAAATGGGACATACATGTGTTATTGTGTACAATACCAATAACACTTGTATAAGGGATTTTTTCCACTTTCTTCTTCCATTTCTTTCTCTACTTATACAGAACATGATTTCTCATTCTCTTTTAAAGTAACTATGAATGACTCATCTTTCATATGAAAATGTTTTATAAGAACATTCTTTATGTTACTCTCAAAGCCCTTTTACATCAACATATGCAAGGATGATTGAGATCTTTATTTTGTTTTATACAACCTTATTCTGTGTCTCTTGAAGAGATACGATGTGGCCAATTTCCTCCTAGTTAGGGAGTTTATTCTTTAAGAAATGTGACATCTCACAATTCAAATTCAATCACAATCTCAATTTTGTTTTCACTCATGAAAAAATAACCCTTTTTATTTCTCAAAGTATCTAATGAAGACACATTCTTTCCCTTATGGACTTTGTTTTTTATATTTGTAGAAATCATTATGGACATATGCAACTGATCCCCACCGTTTAAAAATATTTAAATCCAGTATATGTTCTGTCCATAACTTAAAGGGTGTGATTGTGACTAACTTTAAAAGCACATGGTTATGTCTGATGAGAATTATTACTCAAGAATCTTTCACATGAAAGTTGTTGACTTGTTTATGCCAATATTAACTTAACCATGTCGTATAGTATTTTATCTTAGCAACTCCACTCTATTATAGAGTGCTTGGGATATTTTACCACTTACTTATCCCTTTTTTTATAGTTAGTTTAATTAATTAAACAAATATTCATGACCTCAATCAATTAGTAACAATTCATAAAACTTTACTGTTCATTTGATTTTATACCTTACTTAGGCACTATCTAAAGCATTCAAAAGCTTTAGATTTGTGAAATAAAAGACTCATGATAATATTGTGAATAATCATCAATAAATTATCAACTCTGTGATTTGTCCTTACACTCATAACACCACATAAATTAAATAGAAGAATTGTAAGGGATACTTTATTTTAGTTCCCTTATCTGAAAGGTTTTCTTATTACTTTATTAGTTAGACAATTCTCACATAAGGACACTTTCTCATTAGAAATTGAGCCTTGCATTCTTATTTTACTAGTTTTACTCATTCTTTTCTAATTTTTATGTCCTAGCCTTAGCATGTCTATTGCTCATATCAATATTAAAGCTAAAACAATCATAAAAGTAATTGTTACTAACAATATCCAAATAACTTCCTTGAAAGAAAAATTGAACAAAACAAAAAAAAAATTGTTCATTTCATAATGTCTAAAACATTATCATAAAAGTTTATAATAAACCCATAATATAAAAATTTAAAAAAGTTCCATCAGTATTCTAGTGGTTAAAAGGCATTGCAAAGGGTCTTGATCTTTTCCACCTTGTAAAGCAAATTCCTTGATTTTGCCTTTTTCACCTATAATTCAACAACCAACGGTACCTGTGAGGGATCCTTAGTCCCTATCATTTCTGCCTGTGGAGCTTGAGTTTATAATTCAAGAAGAAAAAAAGTTTTGTTAGAAAAATAGAGTACTTAGTACATCTGAAATCAAGGTATTGAAAATCAAACCAATCATTAAATCGACTGAGGTCAAGGGTTAGGGTTAAGGGTTCAATCAAAAGTCAAACCAGTCATAATAAAATAATATAGTTTTTTAAAAAAGTAATTATACATTATATATTTGTATAATATTAGAATAAAAATCTTGGCAAAAAAAACAAGAAGCAAAAGGCTGTAATTGACTAAGATGCAGGTAAGGAAATCGAGAAAAATCTTAGGAGAATGAAAGGCAAGAAAAGAAAGAAAGAAAAAGAAATTGAAAAGTCTATTAGTCTAGTAGAAGAATGGTATTACATCATTATCAAAGGTCCTAAGGATGCAATAGTAAACCTATTTTTTTAATATGTAACAATGAACCCATTTTCAAAGCTCAAGCTTTTGAAGACTGAAAAAAAAAACCCTTTCAGTTAGACGCCGAATTACCAATTTCCACCGCCAATACCATACTCAAATCACTGAAAAAAGAAGAAACCCTTTCAGGAACAATGCATAAAATGTCCCTTCTTTACTTCATGCTCTATTCAGATGGTTATGGCTTTCACCCAGAAGATGATTTCAAAAGACTCAACTGTAAGGTGGACTTTAAGTCTTCAACAGGCTCAACGATAAAGGAAGGAGACAGTATAGAATCGAGAATGTTAAGGGGAGAGCTGAGAAGGCAAGTCTAAAAGTGAGAGGTAAAGAAGATCATCTGAGGTAGAGTGACTCAAGGTTTCTATTTTTATTTTATTTTTCAAACCCGTTATTTTAGGGTGTCAAAAATTTAAAAGAAGTAACTCGCCCAACCTTACGTAAAATTTAAAAGAAGTAACTCACCCAACCTATGAAACTCATGGGGTTAGGCAGGTTAATCTTGGGTCACCTAAGTTAACCTGATTTGACTGGCACCTAAAGAAATAGCTAAATTAGACTAGATAGACAGTCGGTTCACTATTCTACCAACCAATCATGTCTGATTTTATAAACCATGTCTGAAATTTACAAATTGACTCAATTTACTAGTACCTTATCTTTTTTATTTTGCTTAAGACAATTCCTTATGAAGTAGCCCATTTTCTAGTAGGTAAAGCACTCAACCATTCTTAGGTCAGCTTTCTTCCCACCTTTCTTGCCCTTCTTATTGAATAATTTCTCATTCTTGAAATTTGAGCCATCTTTCTTACCCTTATTGCCCTTTTAAGAACTAGGTTGAGTATTAGAAAGACCAGATTCCTCAATTATGTATGCCTTTTCAAAGGATTTATAAGCCTCAAGGCATTCATCTTCAAGCTCAAGATGTTTTGCTGCATCGTCAAAAGTGACGATGTTTTATTATGGGTCAAATTTACTTTCATGTACTCCTAGTTAGAAGGGAGTGATCTTATAACAACTTGAACTTGCTATTCATCAGACAATATGTGTCCAGCTTCTTTTAGTTCTGGATTATATTAGCCATCTCATACATATGCTTTCTCATAGGAGTATTAGGCATGACCTTTAAGGTGTCAAACTTTATTGTCAACCTTCTTAGTTTTATGGTGGAAGTACCTCCAAACTTGTCCTTCAATGCAATCCACATAGCTTAAGTAGTGGCGTACTTATCATACTCTCACATAAGATCATTAGCAATTGTACTCAGTAAAGTAATGCATGCTATGCTATTTTTCCTTTTCTAAGCCATGAAAGCCTCATGATCCTTCCTATACTGGGTAAAATTCCTAGCTCTAGGTTCCACCATTGTCGTAGTCAATAGCTCAAACGTGTCTCGTTCCTCTAATATGTATAAGACCTTTCGGTGCCAGATATCCCAATTATTCTTGTTTAGCTAATCCCTTTCATTTAATTCAACAATTATGTTCTTGGTAGCCATTCTCGATTCAGTCACAAAACTATTCCATATGAATAGTGTTTTCTATTATTGAAATGAATCAAAGAACATTTTAGCAATATGGTGCATGAAAGCATATAATATCATGTACTTGTATCATTCTTAACTAAGATAAAAATGACATTATTAGGTCTACGATCAAGAGACTATGTTTGTGCCTACATCACATGGATTCTAGTAACACCATTAACATCTAACAAGAATTTTATACAAGTATTTCAAAATAGATTTTCATTTATGACTCTAAGAAAACTCATTTTTTAAGAGCTCCTACTCAAATGAAGAATACATTTAATAAAATAAGTCTAAAACATGGTTTATGATACTCCAAATAAAAACATAGTCTTTGTACATATTTAAAACACAAAATCAAAAATTACAAGACAATCACATGAATGGGTACTTTCATGTATTCTTATCGCTTATCATTTTATCATTTTTATTTTCGTGATAAAAGATTTTATCTCCTTAATTCTTATAAGGAGATTTGTTTCATCATTTAAATGAGATAATCTTGTTTTTAACTTCTTCAAAGTCTTGAGAGGATTGTTGTAATGCCTTACTCTTCCTAACATGATAAGACCATAGTTTTTTTGAACATTTTTCAGTTTAAGAATTGAGACAACCATAAATAGCCTTAACCTTACTCCAATATTCTTCAACACATTTGATTACTTAGAGTTTTGTCTTCATATGCAGAGTTATCTCTTTGTCTCTCTAATTATTTATAATTAAAAGGATTCCAACATTTGTTTTTAGGGAGTGTATTTAATATAGCATTTTCTTAAACTCTTTCAGGAAATAAAAATTATTCTTCATTTAATTGAGCTTATTTAAAGTATCAACACTTCGCTTAATAAGTGATTTTAGAGAAATTAATTTATGCTATATTATTAAAAGTATTATATTTTTTTATGGTTGTTCATATGTCCTCTCCCCTTTTTCCACACTGGAAAAAAAGCTTTCTTAAAATTAATCATAAAACTTCAGATTTATTGTACTTTTACAATTATCATTTCACTTGAAAATAATTTTTTTGTCATTAAATTTTTGGTTCAAATTTGGTTTAGATCTACAATTGTTTTAATTTGGGTCAATATCCAAATCACTTTCTAGATCCTCGCAAAGTGGTAATTTTGTCTTTATAAGTTCCATTTCAAAATCCTCACTAAAAGGATAACATTTAAAAAAATGTTTTATCTGAAATACCTCTTAGAGAGACATTATCCAACATTTTAGTACTTTTAGTAGACTCTCAATTCATATTTATCCATATGATAAATAATTTAAATGATTATAATTATTTTTTATGGTTTTTAAATAATTAAAAATCACTCATATAAGAACTAAAATCCTCTTAAATTATCCAAATATGCTTTAAAATAAGCAAATTATATATCAAAATGTAGATCTTGAATTTAGAGATTTTTAAAAACAAACCATCTCTCAATCTGATCGTTCAACCACCTACACAAGCCCTTATAATAAGTCAAAAACAAAAATTCTAAAGAAATAGGAAAATTTTAGCAAAGCCCACTCTCAACAATGGAGAGTGTAAGCCACACGCCACTATAGAGACCTAAAAAAACTACATGCATCACCACATTTGACTCCACTCATCGAGACCTCTCAGGTGATGTGGTCCATATGTCCATTGAATCCTTTGATAAGCCCTACTTGCCACTATTTTCCTTTTTTTAATTTAATATAAAATATTATTATTTCATTTAAATGGTTGATCAGGTTAAGACTTATCCATAATTATTTTTTTAGCCTTGGGCTATTGGGCTCTAAGCCCAAAAACCTTTTTTTTTTGCAATTGGGCTTCTCTTCTTTAGCTTAACCAATATCTTTTCCTTTTTTCATAATAGTAGTTTTTTTTTATTTCGGGGTTGAAACGATATCATTTTGGTCGTGTTCAACCTCCCACCGAGTCATATTGACTCAGTTTCCTTCGAGTCTGTTAGACCTAAAACTTCAAATGGCTATATCTCCTGCATCCGATATTCGTTTGGTGTATTCTTGGTGTTATTTTTTTTCATTTTTGTTGAGCTCTATACAATGATATCAACCATTAGCCTAAAAAATACTGTTTTCAAGTATCTTATTTTTGGTTATATGTTTTCGAAACTTTTCTCATGCACAGGTTGTATGAATAACATATACAGTCACATATAATATAAATACAACCTTATGAAAACAAGATCATATTTTTAAATTCACATAAATGAACTTATATGATGCAACATATTGAATAGAAAGGAATATTACAATAAGATTTTTCATAGGATAAATATAAGCAAATCCTTTATCACAGTCACAAAAGCATAGAACAAACCAAATTCATGTTCTAATGCCAATCTAGAATAATAAAGTCTAAAAGCGTACCTTAAATTGCAGTGGATAATACTTCTACCCAAGAATGGAGTTACATGAACTCGATTTCTTGTACACAGCAAATACACTGACTGAAAGAGAAGAGGGATGTGAGTACTTAAAATATGGTTTTCTCTTAGTGTTTCACACACCATGTCGTTAAAACTGATTTTGCCTTCTCAAATATCCTTCACACATGAAGGAGAATAAGGCAATCGTGTATATGTGATTAATATAACCATTTCTACCAATTTTCAAGTATTAAGAGACAATTACATTTAAGAGCCCAAGTATAATCACTCACTTGGAAAGTTATTTGTGCAGTTTGGGAGAGGTTTAAAGAGGGAATGGGAAAGAAAGTTTGTAATGGATATAACACATCCTTCTAGTTTGAGAATTGGTTTGCATTGAATATCCCTTTAATTGAGCTTATCCCTGGTAGAGAAGGATATATTGAATGAGGAGAATCTATTTTTGAGTATGTTAATCCATAAAGGGACTCGAATATTGATAGGCTAAGGCTTTAGTTCTATCCTAACACTATTGCTTGTATGACTTGTGCTCATTTACCCAGTAAGGAGAGAGGATAAACACTTTTGAAAACTTTCCTTCGACGGATATTTTTATGTTAAAATGGCTTATAATTTTACTAATACTAGTATTAGAAACAATGTAGATAGCATTTGGAAGATCTTGTGGAGGTGGCCAATCATAAAGAAGATCAAATCCTTTATGTGGCTTTTTATGCATGGTAGGGTACGTATTTGTGAGCTCAAAACTAGGAGGGGATAAAAGGTAGATCAAAATTGTCCCTATGGATATTTGACACTTAAGGATTCCATGTATTTACTCTATAATTGTAACATCCAAAAAATTTTAACCTTGATTCATTAACCTAATAAGGGTGATTAGTGAGTTAATGAGGTGTGTAGTCAGAGGGGCTTAACTTGGCATAATTGATGTGATTTTAGACCTAAAAGTAGGTCCGAATTGATGGCGGGCCACCCAGGCAAGGAAAGAGGAAGAAAAAGTGAAGAACTATTCCCTGTGCCACACATCGCAACGCGTGGTTGGTCTGTCGCAGTGCACAAAGATAATTTAAATGTAACGGGCTTCTCTATGCCATGTACTGTGACGAAGAGCATCGTGCACCGTGATGTACGGCCAAAAATTAGATATATCTAATTCATTTTCTGCAAGAGAAAGACAGAAAAGGAGAAGAAGAAAAATAAAGAGCTTAATTTGGCTCTGCTAGGGCATGGCATTGGGTTTTATTGAGGCTAGATTGAAGCTCCCAAACATCTAAGATAAGATTATGGTATCTTCTTCTTCCTTTCTCTCCCTCATTTATGATGAATTATGGTAGAATTTGAGTTGGAAGATGGATTTTTGGTCCATAGGAGTATGGGTCTAATTCCATTGGTTAAAATGAGTATAAAGAGAGTTTTTTAATGTATTGGAACATCATATTGAGGATTTTACAAGTGAATGGCCCATGGGAGCATTTATTATCCGAAAATTGTCATAAATATGGTAGTTGGGAGTGGTTAATGTGCATTAATGATGGTTTGAGGTGTTATTAATGATAAGAGTATTAATGAATTTAATGAGCCCATTGGGTATGAATGGGTAGTGATTATGAGTTGGTTAAAAATAGTGTGCGTGGAGTTTTATGTTGATAAAGCTTCAAGAGTTAGATAATGATGATATTCTTGTGGTATGGATATAGAGAGGTTCGTTTTGGCACCATTCGAGCTTGTTAAAGCTTTAGAAAGTTGGTATAGTGGGGGGTAAACCTTTTACCTCTTGAAGGTTTAAGGTAACCAGGGAAAACTTAATCTTTATAGTTGAATGTTAATTATATTTGTGAAATGTGATTTATAAGTTAAATTAATGATACATATTGACAAAGTGCTTGATTTGTGAAATGATTTTTGAGAAAGAAAACCTTAATTTTTAACCCTTGATGTTTTGCAAAATTGATTGTAATTTATTACTATGGGTGGAGAATTATGTTATATTATGTGTTAAATTGTGGAGTATTGAGTTATGTGAGTTCATGTGTTATGAATCAATTATCAAAATGTATATTATGTGAAACATGTGCATAGCATGATCATTGGTGGGAGTTCGCCTAGGAAGATGAATAAATTGGTTGAAATCCAAATGGTATTGGCAGTGACTATTGAAATCAGGAACTAGCTGTTGGCACTAGTACTGGGCAAACGGGCTAGCCCCGCGGGCTGGCAGTTTTGCGGGTTGGGTTGGGCCAGCCCGCCAAATAAAACGGGCTGGAAAATCCAACCCAACCCATTTTTCAACGGGCTAGTCAACCCGCGGGCTAGCCCGCAAAAAATTATCAAATTTTTTTAATAATTTAAAATTTATACAATATAAATATATATATTTATTTCATATTTTAAAGCAAATTAGAAATTAAAAAACTTGTAAATAAATAAAATAAATATAGAATTCAACCAAGCAAATTCATTTTGTTAGATTTTTATTATTAATCATTTTCTCACCTAGGTGTGCTATCTTTGTCACTAATAAAGAAAATTTGAATATAAACTCATATTATTTTCTTAGTGAATTCATATTTATAATTTCAATCAATAGAATTTATGAGATTAATAAATAATATATATTCAAAACATTTCTCTAAAAACTAATAAATCATCTTCATAAACTATAACAAAAATTTTATTTGCAAATTATAAAAAGAATTTACACTATATTTTAAATGTAAAGAATATATTTAAAAGTCATAAATTATATATTTGAGAGATATTATCATTATTGTAAATTTATAAAAAGATATAATGTAATTAAAAAATAAAAAATTATTTTTTAAAAAATATTGCTAGCCTGCGGGCTAGCCCGTTTTAACCTGCTTTTTTACGAGTTGGGCTAACCCAGCCCGTTTTAAAAAATGGGCCAATTTTTTCAACCCAACCCGTTAAATTGTGCGGGTTAAACGGGCTAGCCCGCGGGCTCAACCTGTTTTCCTGGCTCTAGTTGGCACTGACCATTGGAATTGGGAGGTAGCCCTTCTCCCATGGTTGTTTTGGGACTATCCCACTTGTTCTATAATGGGACTCGAACCTAACTAGTTTTCACCGATTCATAAAAAGGCTAGGTTAGGGGTACGACACCCCATGGTTGTTAGTATTTGGGGAAACTGGATTATATAAGTGAGTGAGTTCACCCTGACCCGGTAGCTTCTCACAAGTAAAAGGCTGGGTTAGTCCGTGAAAAACGTAGCTACGAGATAACCACCGGTTTCATGTCAGAGGTAATAGGAGGATATAAGGTTGGCTTATGATCATGTATATAAGTCCGACTATATGATTGTTAGTTTTGTGGTTCGACATGTGTTAAGGGCACATGGTTGTTATTTTTGCTACCCTAGGTTATGTTTTTACGAAATAACATGATATAGTATTCTATGGTAAGCCCGGTCACATGGTTGTTAGTTTTGTAAACGGTGGCCTAGTGTTATGTGATATATATGCTTGTTTGCCTAATTGCATCTATTAACAATTGATATGCAACTGTATGGGTTAAGTTAAACTTGATTACTGAGTAGTTGTGCTCACTTCTCAATTCTCAATATTTTCAGGACTTAGCTCATCAGATTCGAGTCAAGGAAAACATACAGAGGCTTAGGATTTATGGAGTAATCCTCTATGTGCCTCTCTTTTGTTACTTACATGTGTATCTGTTAATATAATTGTCAACTAGGATTAATTGACATGATTTGTGCACTACTTGCATAATTTTATATATAACTAGTGTATTTTGTGCCCTAGGTTAGTGAGTTTTGGTTGTGAACCTCTGGTCAGGGCCAAAATTCTTGTGCAAGTAGAAACATTTGTATTTTGAGAAATTTAGAATGAAATAGTTAATTTTGTGCAACTTTTCCTCCCTCTTAATGTTTTGTGAAAATAGGGATTGAGTGGTGATTTTATGAGATATATGTTTTTGATTGTGTGTGGTGTGTTGCATGAGTTTGTAAGAGTCCATTGAGTTTGGTCGCATGGTTAGTATAAGCTATTGACACGTGTGGTTGAATTGGGACACCCCATTTGTGAGATTTTGTGAAAAAATGATCAAAATGGGTTTAGGTGTCTAACTTTTTATAAAAAAAATTAATTTGAGTGTGAAACTAGTGCCATTAACTAGAGCTAGAAGAGAGCTCCGTGTAGACATTGAAACCACCTCAATCGGACATTGGACGAAGATTTGAGATGCATCAGAAATTTGCTCCTTGTGCTGTCAAATGACGGCACTGATTTGTCAAATTTCATGCAATGCGCCACAGCACATGGTGCCTCATACTGCAACACATGACACAAAGGAGACACACGACGGCACATGATCGTAAGCTGTGGTGCACCTGTCATTTTTTATACAAAATTTGTTTTTGAGTTTTAAAACTCATTATTTGGGTCTCAATTGATTTTCAAGCTTCCGCTTTATTTTTAAAACTCTGATTGGAGTCCTTAAATCATGTTTGAGATTTGAAATATAAAAAAAAATGGGATTCTTTGGAAATAATTTTGAAAAATCTCTTTTATTAAGCTTTACAATTTGGTAATCCTTTCAGGGCTAAATCTCATATTACAATAATTTGGAGTTATTTGTGGTTTAACCTCAGAGAGGTTATAATGATTGTCAACAAGTGAGAGAAAGATGGAAAGCAATAGTTAAAGAGGCACACTAAAGCATGTTTACAAATCTTCAAGGTGCTTAATAGGTCAAGTGGAATCTAATAATGAAGTCAAACAGAGTTACACCAATAATATCACTTGAGCAACTTTATTCAAGTATGTATGTTGGGACATTTAGGTCTTTCAATGCAAAAAGGTTTTTGATGATGATGAGGAGGAGGTTAATAATCAAGCCTTAACTAGTTTCTTTAAAGCTTGTAATGATTGTGACCTTCTTCATAGAACCCTTCTTTTAGATTTTGAGAAACGAGTTTCTAGATCTGTTAATGGTTTTTTTACCTTGGAGTGGAGGCTCAATATTAGCTAACAACCAATCAAGATGTGGGGGTGCCATTTGGGATGATCAATGGTCATAGATCAAAGGCTTTAGTTATAAATTACTTACGTTCCTCCAACTATTGTAGAAGTCATCGCTATGACCCACGGTCTTAGCCTTTTTTGGGACATGGGGTATAGGAATGTAATTTTGTTTGCTGACTCTATTGAAGTTGTGAACTTGCTTACTTGGGGTTGTAGCAATACTCACCCTTTTAAAAGCATCATTATATATGTGCAGATCTTGTTTTATATATATGTGCAGATCTTGTTTTATAGAGACTAGATCCTTGAAGTTTAACATTTGAACTGAGAGAAGAATGTTATTGTAGATTACTTAGCTAAAAATTTTCATTACTTTGATTATGTCTTTTGTATCTTTGGTCATCCTCCTAGCCCCATCTAAGGTTTAGAGGCTAATGAGGGATCTTCCCCTCTTGTTAACTTAAATGTTTTGTAGCCTTTTGTTGCTAAAATGATTTCAATTTGATTCAAAAAAAGAAATAAAATATTCAAATGATAATATTTTCATTCCTTTTTTAAGAAAAAGAAATTTACCTCTAACCTAACCCTTCCCTATAAGGAAGAGGGATACATGTACCCACACACATACACTAATCATGTCAATGCTTTGTTCAAACTCAAGACTTCTTTCAAGAGAGGGAAGTAGCCTTGTCACTAGGACAACTGACTGTTGACATAATATTTTCATTCCTTGACATGCAAACTAAAAAGATATGAAATATAAAGACATTAATAATTTGCGATAAATTGATATAAAGATAATTGTGTTATTTGACCAAAGAACATTTGGTTCAACTAATTGAGGAAGTTGAATGTACTTATCTGAGATCTTGAGTCTAAATCTTAATATATACAGCTGTATTGAGTAAACATGTCAACAAAAACTTGTTGAGGTACCCATGAGTTCATCGTTAATAATAATAGTCTCACATATTGAGGGTTTAAATTAATTTGGACAGGAAGGGTTGAAACTCTCAGGTTTCTTAAGATATTGAATTATAGAATAGAAAAATTGTATCACCTAAAACATCCTTATATTTTTCAAAAATATAAATATACAGTTTTATTATTGATGTGATGTTTTTGTTGAAAATTAATAATTTATAAAAATCTCCCTAAATTTCTTTGAAACAAGGGTCTGCTCTAGCGCCTGAGAGGCGCAAGAGGAATGCGGCTTTGCCTTTCTTGCTGCTTTCATAAAAGCGGACTTTTCATCTTCAATTAAATAACAGGAAAATGCAACACAAGAAATTAATATTCCACCTCCCTATTTCAACTTATTCATTAATTGCTGGCCCAAAAACTTATTCATCACTCATTATTCACATCGGGTTAGGCTTGTTAATTTTCTGGGCCTAACGGTTTATATAAACTAATGGGCCTGGATTTGTATATAGTCTAAAATAAAAATGCTGTATAGTATTTATAAATAATATGATATTATATGATTTTTTAGTTAAAACATTACTATATGTTATGAGAGCTAGTGACTTTCATAAATAATATTACTTGTATTTAATTTTCTAAATAGAAGTTCAACTTAAAATTCTCCCACATTCTTTACAGATGAAGTACTTAATTTTATTAAGGAATCAAGAGGGTCTTATTCAACACTTTAAAATATTCCTTCCGGTCTCAAATAAAGAGACTTTTTTGTACTTAGTTTGCTCTCAAATATATATTTTTTAAAAAAAAGGCGATACCTAGTGTGTGTGTGTGTGTTAATTATACTATCCCAATTCTGCCCTCCGCTAATATAGTAATATTATGATAAAATCAAGACTTCAGCTGCTTTTAACTATTTATTATTAATCAGTATATGTTGGTTATTTGTAGGGTGAGTAGAAGAAACAAACATCTAATATTGGGTGAGTAGTTATTTTCTATTTTGCCGGAATACAATAGAATCACATGAAAAATTAAAAGGGAAAAAAGAAGAAGAAGCAAAACTGGAATTATAATAATTAAAATGATGGGAAGGATATTAAGAAGTAATTAATTAACTGGATGAAGGGGTCCGGCGACACTTGGGCTGCTTTTGGGAATTGAAGTAAACGGCGGCGACCGGGAGAGCAAGGCCGTGTTTGGAAGAGAAGTGTCGGGTATTGAAATTGGCTCGTTCTTCTCGCAACGATGCTTCCACGCCATCAAGTGATCCTCCCCTTTGCCTGAACGCCACAAACACGTACCTATGTATTCCCATCCGCGGGCTCGCCCCCACGTAACTCACTACTTCTTTCCCTGCATTCATTTCCCCCAGTCACTTTTATTAAAAAATTTGATAGAACAAAAAAATTAATGAATATTTTCACCATCCAGAATTATAGGATACTTTCAAATAATTTATAAAAAATATTACTTTGAATTCCTACACTTAATCGAGTTTTACTTTTTTTGATGTTATAAATTCTTATATTTTTATTTTTTAATATTTTAGGTCTCTATAAAATGCATGTAGAGGTGCCTAAAATATTAAGAAACAATAGTGTAAGGACTTTAAACACAAAAAAAAGGTGAAAAAAGTGTATGGACCTACAGCAAAATTCGAGCAAAGTAAAGAAATCTAAAATTATATTTTCCTTAATTTCTACTATTAATAAATTATCTGATAATCAATATGTAAAATTACACATTCTTTTCATATTTACCACTATATATAATAAGAAATTTTAATTGGAAAATAATATTAATAACACTTTCTAGTTAATGGCATTTAAAAAAATCTTATTATTTTAAGAGACTGAAAATAATATTTTTTAATATAATACTTTAAATAAAAAAGTGTTTTAATATAGCACTAAAAGAAAGAAAGAAGTGTCTGACCTACCTTGAGTGGCATCAGAACCCTCCGGAATATCAACGACAATCCTGCCACACGCGATATTCTTACGTTACTCAATTAGACCAAATCACAATATACTATCTTCATCATCATCATCATACGGTCGTGTGTGTGAACTTGAGAGAACAAAAGTATGTACCAGTGGAGCCACTCTCTGAATGTTGGTTCGCTGGGACTTGGAGCATCAGGATCCACCATTACCTACATGAAGCAATGTTACCGTTAATCAATGACCTTTTTATGAAGAGTGAGATTTGCGACTGGCAGAGAATAGAAGCTCTGTGTATTGTGCATGTATATTGTGAAAGAGATGTAGAAGCATGCTACAAATATATACATACCAGAGTGTACAGATTGGAAGCATTATTGTTATTAGAAGGAGACATGAGTCGAACACGAGGCCTGTCAGCTGCCAGTGAGGGTTTGATCTCACAACCACTCATCACCTGCTTCGACCCGAACTGCACCGTCAGTTTCAACTCCGGCACGAAGGGGTCCACGACGTCTCCGATAACCTTGCCGACGGCCAGTGGCTCTATCAACCCACTCATTCCTTCTTCTTGATTGCTGGGCTTATTGACCACTTTGGTCTGCCACCTTTGTGTGTGCGTGTGAATATGTATATGAATGGTGGTACAAACAAGGGTGTGTGTAAAGGTGCCCTCTCGCAGCTTCGTCAAACACTACGCAGAGAGGATATGTTTGTTTATGAAAGCGTTGTTTTGCGGCAAGGCTGTGGATGAGTGACACGTAGCAAGGAAGGGTACGTGGAGGGGCACACGGCTTTCCCACTACGTTGGTGGCAAGAGGCCACGTGTCTCTTCTCTGTGCGCCTGACGGTTATGCAATAACCTCAATTATCTCTCCCTCCCACTCTCAAATCAACTTCATTGTCTGTATGAAATGCTTGTTGGGAGAGTCTTATCGTCAATGTGGTTGTATCTTAATCTATAAATAATAAGTAATTGTATCAAAAAAAAAAAAAACTCCCGTATTCTTTTACCACTAAATTTACACCTAATTCTTAGCCTAATTAATTTACGTTGATACTCTCTTCAATCCTTAATATGAGACAAAGTTTAAAAGGATTTTTTTATCTTAAACAAAAAATGAAGTTAGAGTAGTTAATGATTCTTTAAAATTTTACCTCTTGTTTATTAATTGGGTATGACTTGTATACCCAACTTGATATGTTTCATATACTTTTATCTGAGCAAGTCAAGACATTTGAATTTTAATATATTAATACCATTAATAACAATAATTGGTTATAGATTAAATAATCTATAGAAGATATACATGTGTTGATTTAATTGAAAATAAATGTCTTCAATATATAAGCTTTGCCCTCATTAATTATCATTTGAACTCTTAAACAACAATTTATTAGGTCATTAATTACAAATAAATGTAAAATTAGAAAGTTACATATTTTTTATAATTTCAAAGTTATAACTAACATCATTAATTAATAAAGCATGAAGTTTGTTGACTTCTTGTCTTACATTAAGGGCTCTAATAGTACTCTTTTTATTTTTACATGTAAGAGAGAAAAATATATCACATAGTTTAAAAAAGTTAGTTAATTATAATAATTATGTCTGAAAATAGAGAAATTAAATTAAAATTCATTATGTTTATCAACATAAGTATATATTAATTATTTTTCATTAATGTAAATTATAAGGAGCGATTTAGAAAATGTGTAATAAGTGCTTATGAAAATATGTGATTTTATTTATATAAAAAATAAGTAAATATGATAGTTTCTTTTACAAATAGAAATGGAATAGTATTCCTGAATCAAAACAAAAAGTAAGGGAGAACAATAAATAAATCCCACTTAAATAGACAATTGATAAAAAAGTAATATGAAATGAAGTAATTATGACTCTAAAGTTCTTAAGAACTTGTCTAACATAACTCTATTAGAATAACGGGAAGCGTAGCTGTTAAAATCTAAATAGGAGTTGTAAATAATAAAGGTAAAAATGCTAATGTAAGAAGTATAGTTTTTATTTTATAACTAAAATGAAGTTTTGATAGAGTGCCGTTTCAATTCATTAATCAACAACTATAGTTTACTTTCTCTATTTAAAAATTTAAGGTATTTTTAATTAAATTTCACCCTTAAATAAAGTAGTTACATACTTTTTAATTAATCCTATCTTTTTATATTTATCCTTATTAAATACTTTACAATAAATATAAAGTCATTATCAATAAAGATTTTTTTGAAAAAAAGTAATGATTATATTTCAAAAAACTAAAAATACCTTACATTTTTTAACATCTAACTTCTCAAAAAATGCCTTACATTTTTTAAATTTAGAGAGTAGATATTAATAACTTTAATTTAGATTTTAACAATTACACCTTTTATTATTTTGTAGATGATAATAATTGTAATTTTTTTAAAAAAATTATGTCAAATAAATCCCCATCCTTTTTAATTCGCATCGCATTTGAACCAATTTTTTTAAAAAATAAAGTTGTAAGTGTTAAGTTTTTGAGAAATTTAAATTTAAATTATATTTTTAAATTTAAATATGTTTTTAAAATTTATGATATCACAACAATAATAAATAATCTTATCTTACAAAATAGGGTTGACTACATTTTTAAAATGAATAATACTGTATTAGCATATTTTATATTTTATATTTATGTTGTTTTAAAATTAACTATTAATTTTTATCTTGACATTTTTTATTTTAAATTTAGAGAGGGAGTAAAATTTTTGAAATAAAAAAATATTTTTTACATTTTTAACATACTCAAAGTTACAATTTAACTTCCTTTTCTTTTAAAACACTGACTTCATTAAAAAATTTCTCCCATCCCCATCATATCTCTTGAATAGGGTAGATTAATATTCCGAATAGGTTAAACATTTAGTTATTATACATACATACAAACATACATACATACATACATACATACATACATATATATATATATATATATATAATAACTAGATTTGAACAGAAAGATATATGTACTAATTTCATCGAAAAAACATCCTTCTCTAAGAAAATTCTTCAACAATAATAATGATGTGCTTAGTTTCGTATTAAAAATTACTCTGGTTGAACATTTTTAATATAAAATTAAATGCGTCCTAAAAGTTAAGTTATTTTTTTTTTTTGCCAGAACTAGGAATTAAATGTTTAGTTCCTATTGATTTTTGATTAGTCACAACAATTATTTAGATTTGGCCTTTTCTTGTAATTATAGCATGTCAAGAGTGCCACCTACTCAACATGTGTGGTTTGGGGCATGCCTGTATATTCAACAAATAAATAATTGAATGATATTTATTATGTTTTCATTATCATTGTTCAATCTCTTCATATTGCTTAATTATTTAATTCAATAGTACAATACTTCTCCCGTTTAAAAATATAAAATATTTTTTAAAATGTTGGATATTCAAAAATAATATTTTTTAGTCTTTTTGAGGTGTAATTATTGTCTTTTTCTTTTTTTTTTCAAAAGTATTCATATTAATAAAGGCTTTATATTTATTGTAGGATGTTTTATAGGGGTAAATATGAAAACATAAAGTTAGTTGAAAAGTAGGTAACTACTTTATTGAAAGGTGAGATTCGGTTAAAAATGCCTTACATTGTTGAATGGAAGGAGTATATTTTTTAGCTATAAAATAATTTTGGCTAATTTAGTTTCCTTCTCAGTAGATTTTCCTTTTTATTTCACTATGTTCTATGTATTATACAAGTCCATATTTATTTTGAAATTTAAAATAACAAGCAAATGATTTATTTTTATATATACTTGTTTGTAATTCGTAACTTTTGTATCTTTTCAATTAGTATGTTTTATTATATTATCATAAAAATTATACACTTATTATTATGACAAAATATGGAAATTATTTATTATTTTTCTATTGTGAATTATAAAATGATTTTGTCATGTTTTTACTATTCAAGAATACGAATATCTATCTACTTTCCTCGTTATTATTATATTTAAAATTTTAAATTTACATTGTACATTTTTTTTCTTGCTTTATTATTAATTAATAAATTAAATGTCGAAGAGTCAAATACGGATCGGTGACCAATATATATGGCTTTCGCTTTCCTAAAGTGCACCCACTTCCGCATTTTACTATTAGCTGTTTTAATGTCAATATCTCATTGGAGATTTCCCTTATAGTTGACTTCATTTGATGATATGTGGAGTTGATAAAGTTTTTTTTCTTAATGGAAAAACAACATTCAAGAACCATTTTAAAAAAATTATTTACAAACAAAGATTAATATAATGAATTATTATTAAAATAAAAATATAATTTATTTTTTTCTTAAATAGAATTTGTTGTTAATTCTTATTTAAAAATAATTTACTTAAGTGGTTCTTGAATATTATTCTTTCTTTTTAAACTAACTTAATATGAGATTTACATCTTATCTAAATATATGTTAATGCAAGTTCATCTCATACCTGCAGGAGATGACGTTACCATTATGATAAACTTGTTGTTGGCCTGATTTTATGCTACTTGAATCTGAAAAGAAATCTAAGTTAGGCTTAATAGTAAACATACCCAATAGCATTTATCTTATGGGTGTTCACGGAACGGGACAGGATCGGGACACCCTCGTCCTGTGTCCCGTCCCGAAAAAAAAAATCGAGACTCAATTTTAATCTCATGTCCTATCTCGTCTCGAAAGTCATCCCGTCTTGTTAAGAGTGGGGACGGGATCGGGACAAAATCGGGACGTCCCCCGTCCTGATAAATGAAATAATATTAAAAAAAGATATGGATAATAATGTTCATTAAAATTTTAAATCATATAATTTATTAAGTTTAAAATCAAAACAACACAAGCACATAAATAACAATAATTTAAAATCAATTATTGAATTATATTAATCACAACTACATATTATAATAACAAATACAAGGGATCTTTATGTTATAAGATTAACAGTAACAGACAAGTCAAACATAACATCAAATCATTGTTCTTCTACTTTAGTGAAGATGTACTAAACTAATTACTCTTCTAAAAATAAGCAAGAAATATGTTATAAATAAAAGTTATTAAATAGATAGATATAAAAATAAATTATATTAATATAATTAATATCTTATAAAGAAAGATATCGTCATGTTTACTCCATGCCATTAAAATTATCAATATAAAAAAACTTTAGTTTTAAATAAGAATTACAAGTATTAAAATTATAATTGATATAATTAATATAAGTATAAATTATATTAATATAATTAATATATTTAAAATAAATAATAATATATATAATATTCGGGACGGGACGTCCCGATGGTAATTCCGTGTCCCGTCCCGAACTTCTTTCTTGTCTCGTCCCATAAAGTCTTATCCTGATCATTTTCGAGCCAGGATAAGACCTGTCCTGATATGATCGAGATGATACCGAGCCAATTAGAACGGATCCAGATTGAACACTCCTAATTTATCTAAAGTCTTATGCTCTTCACGCTCACAAGGCTTAATAGAGATGTAATTTTCTTTATATATGCTTGGCTGCAAGAGAGAAAATAGAAAAAATTATTAATTTCATATAGATAATAATAAT